GAACTGTCTAAAAATACAAGATAAAACAATAAAAAAGGGAAAGAACAATCTAACCACTTAATATATAAAAATATGGTTTGATAAATACTGATTTATCTTAAGAAAAATTATTCAAATTACTAGCAAGAAGGGAAGTTATTCCCAACACATTGAAGGAACAAAATTTAATGAATTTAATTTGTTAATAGTTTTTTCAAATTTAGGAGAAAAAGAACAAATCCCAAATTGAAAATAAAAAAAAAAGTTCACAGATAAAGCAATTTACAAGACAAAAAAGATAAATTATATAAATATAAAATACTTTTCTTTTCTTTTCTTTTTTTTTTTTTTTTTTTTTTGAGACAGAGTCTCACTCTGTCACCCAGGCTGGAGTGCAATGGCGCAATGTCGGCTCACTGCAACCTCCACCTCCCAGGTTCAAGCGATTCTCCTGCCTCAGCCTCCTGAGTAGCTGGGATTACAGGCACGCGCCACCGCGCCCAGCTAATTTTTGTATTTTTAGTAGAGACGGGGTTTCAACTAAAACCAGGCTGGTCTGGAACTCCTGACCTTGTGATCCACCCTCCTCAGCCTCCCAAAGTGCTGGGATTACAGACGTGAGCCACTGCGCCCGGCAATACTTTTCTTTTTTTAGATCATTGAATTAAAAACCATAGATAATATCCAGTAATGTAAAGAGTGGTGAATAATGTTACTATCACACAGTGTTTGGAACAAGGGTAAATTAATTTAGTATTTTTGGAAGATGATGCAGAAATTAGTGAGAAAATTTTTATGCAGCCTCATTTATACAGAAATTCCACATCTAAGTTTTTAGCCTCAGGAAATAATTGTATACTACAAAATGTTTCGTGAGCTAAGATACACGTTATGGCAGTGATAATATAAAAATGGAAAATAATTTGAAATATTAATATGGTACTGGTCCTGCACACTTCTATAAATAGCTTTAAAAAGGATTAAGGAAGGTCAGGAGCAGTGGCTCATGCCTGTAATCTCAGCCCTTTGGGAGGCTGAGGTGGGCAGATCACCTAAGATCAGGAGTTTGAGACCAGCCTGATCAACAGGGAGAAACTCCATCTCTACCAAAAATACAAAATTAGCCGGGCATGGTGGCACATGCCTGTAATCCCAGCTAGCTGGGAGGCTGAGGCAGGAGAATTGCTTGAACCTGGAAGGTGGAGGCTGTGATGAGCCAAGATCAGGCCATTGTACTCCAGCCTGGGCAACAAGGGCAAAACTCCATCTCAAAAAAAAAAAAAAAAAAAGAGGAAGATCTAGATACTGACATGGGAGATGCTTATACTATATTAAGTATAAGACATAGATGGCTGAACGGTATTTAAATAGAAAGGTAAGATCCCATTTATATATGAAAATACATATGTCACTACTCATATATATATGTATATATATAAATATTCATCAGCAAATATATATTTTTATATTTTTATATATTTTTGGATTAGTTTTATTTTGAACAATGGGAAAGGTACCATTATAACTGGAAAAATAAAAACATTTTATATTGAATATATATTAAAAATAAAAGCAAAAATAAAAACATGTTATATTGAATATTAATGAATTTAATTTCTTATTCATGTTGGATTTAACAGTATCTATACAAATATTTTTAAGACTTGAGATGTATAAGTTCAAATATAACTCAGATTCTGAAGGGTTGGTGTAATATTTATCTCTACACTTTATATTTCATTGTTAAAAAACTTATGCTAAAATATTTTAAGAAACTTCAAATGCTTTTATAAAGCTACCTTAAAACTTCTTCCACCCTACACTGTAATTTGGTTACTACCATAACCCCATGAATAACAGAGGCCCAAAATATTCTAGCTTTTCATGATCCAGAGTCTCCCTCAATTTCAATCGCTTCAAATCATAAACTCAGCTTTGAAATTTTTGACTTAAAAGTCAAAATAGTGGCTCTAGCCACTGTTACTCTTTGTAGATGAGTTAACTTTATTTTTTAACTATCATTACTGTTGTAAATCATGTTGAACTCCAAAAAACACCATTACAAATGGAAGATTGTCTTTACATTAAGTTCAGAACAAACCTCCAGGTTTAGATCAGAGTATTTCATGGTGACTGCATATAAATGTAGGTGGGCATGTAAGGGTATATATGTATGAATCTGTTTCTAGGTGTGTATATGCATGTGTGTTGTATGTGGAACTGCATACAGACATGCAGGCTGTATACGCATACATTTATGTTTTCTAGTAGTGAACATGTGTGTAAGCTCATGTACACCTTGTGTGTGTATGATATACAAAGACAGAATATCTAAAAATAAAACATTTACAGTACATTTGAAATGAAGCAAGCATTTAGACATTCCCATTTACAAATAGTACTGGGGGATGATAAGGTTTTAATCATATGTGGGTACCATTGCAGGCTTATTGTGAACATCACAGCACCTCTGAGGTCAAGTTTACAGGGTAATTACATTTCTGAAAATGGAGGCATATGGAATTTTTATGGATCCAGTGTGCTGTGAGACTGAAATCTAAATTTTGGTAAATGAATATCATGCAAAATATACTTATTCTAAGATATTAAAAAAGAAAAATTGGCCGGGCGCGGTGGCTCAAGCCTGTAATCCCAGCACTTTGGGAGGCCGAGGCGGGTGGATCACGAGGTCAAGAGATCGAGACCATCCTGGTCAACATGGTGAAACCTCATCTCTACTAAAAATACAAAAAAAAAAAAAAAAATCAGCTGGGCATGGTGGCGCGTGCCTGTAATCCCAGCTACTCAGGAGGCTGAGGCAGGAGAATTGCCTGAACCCAGGAGGCGGAGGTTGCGGTGAGCCGAGATCGCGCCATTGCACTCCAGCCTGGGTAACAAGAGCAAAACTCCGTCTTACAAAAAAAAAAAAAAAAAATTATATACTTGATACTATAGCACCACAAAACTATGTTTCTCATAACTGATTCATTTTTTTCTCAAGCTGCAAAGTCAACTCATGTGTACAGAACAACAACAACAACAACAAAAATGTCTGTGATCTGTAAAGCAGCTATCCTCAATCCAGGAAGCATAACACTAAAAGTTTAAACACATTTTAGATTTTAGCTTATCATTATTATTACAAATTTTCTTTTGGCCAATTGAAATGTTTAGAAGTTTTCAAAAGTTGTGAAATAACATTATATAATTTATTGAAACATCCCTTTTTTCCCATCTTGCTTCCCTACATTAATTTCGGCATTTTTTTCTCCCCATTTGCTTTTTAATTCAAGTATAGAAAAGATATGAAATACAAATTTTTGTAAGATTCATAAACCGATTAAGTGCATCAAAGATGAATGTTTCTCTCTGACTCTTTTATATTTTTCTTTACATTATTTTAAATTCATAGTTACATTTCTGAAAAGTAGTGGTACTAATTTTTTTTAAGGACATGGAAGGAAATAAGAGTATAAGCCTGATTTAGGGAAACATTCATCAATTGGTATTGAAGAAGATTCTGTCTTACTGCCATGAATCATCTACTCTGGGGCATGTACACATATATATTGTAATGTGCAGTAAGAAGCTTAAGTATTAGGGAAAAAGTAAAGCAAATTTTCTTTTAGGAATCAGTAATGTGTAAAACAAGAAAATAAAACAGGCAAAACAAAATAATAAATATTATTCAATATAATATGCATATTTTTATACATAATTGATTTTCTATTTCTTGATTCTTTGTGGAACAGAAGAATGTGTAAGAACTTAAGTTCAAAGCAAGAACCTCATGTTGCAAGAGATCTCCTTTATTTGGAAATATTTTTAAGGATTCAAAACAGCTAAAATATAAGGGAATTCCTCATAAAATATAAGTTATATTTTATGAAGATTGGCAGACTGAGCTGCCTTAAAATATTTCTGGGACAGGATGGGGTATTAATAAATCAATTAACTCACTGACAACTCAATAAACAAATTATGTTGGCCTCTTAAGGGTTTATGACTTTTAAAAAGTCTTCTATTTATACACACACACACACACGCACACAGACACACACACACACACACACACACACACACAAACTCAATCATTATTTATGTATACCCTTATGATTGCTTCAATGGAGAGATCAAAGAAGTAAGAAAATACCCTAATAGCAGAATTTTCTAGGGTTCTGTCTTTTAGAATGGATTGATTTTGTGCCCACAACAAGAATATTCATTTGCAAACAGATCATTTGAGTTTGGAGTCTTTTTATTTGGTATTTACCATAATAAGTCAGATGGTTGTACTCATGATAGTGGCACTCAGGATGTAGGAAAGAGTAGTATTCAATAGAAAAACAGGGATAAATCATTGGAGTACCAGTGTATTAGACAGAAATGGCATAGTCATGTGCCTACAAAAGCAGTTTTTGCTTCAGTGTAAATAAAAAATTATTAAATGAATCAATAAGTAGCAAAATAGATGGAAAAAGATAATTACATGTCTACATAAATGCACTTATAAAATAAATTTTCTTTCTGAACAACAGACTGTCTTGAACAGTACACTTCTTGAATAGTTTTTGCACATCAGAAAAATACATCTTCATTTCTCTTACTACCCATAAATGGCAAAACTCTGTTATTCTGTTATCAAACTCACTGAGACCAAACAACAAACAGAGAATTCAATAGGGTGGATCTCCACAAATTGATTGGATCCTTAAAGTTACCTGGGATGCTGATTAAACATTTAAATGCCCAGGTTCCACTTAGACCTACTGAATCCAAATCTCCACAGGAGGATTATTAAGATTAGGTAAGACAACTTGCAAATAAATATGCTACATATTGTAGAAAGTCACTTATTCTGATTATTACATACCATGTTGCCAGTTGTAATAACTACCTTGCTTTTTAAGGGTTAGGATAAGACAGCAACAATTCTGACCTGATGTTTTTTTAATTGTTTGGTCCAAAAAAATGGGAAAAAATAGTTTTCTATGTTTTAAATGTCTGAGTAATGTACTTACTACAGTTTTCAGCTTTTCTATTGTCCCGGATTACTATTCTTTGGTTGATTGTGCTGAAGAGTGTTGTCCAGTTAATGGTATGATAATAACATAGGTTGCTGTTGTCTGTAATATAGATGTTTCCTGCGCTGATTTCCTTCAGAGACTGGAACTGTAGAGAGGTGATGCCCTGTTGCTTGAGGATAAGCAAGGAGAGGCCACTAAGGAGGAGGGAGGGAGAAAATGGAACAATGAAAGCATTCTAGAAGTAAAATAAGGCTGTCACATTTTATTTCAAAAAGAATGTTAATGGAGTCTAAAAGAGGCTGAATCCATAAATCTGTGTTTAGAATGGTATTTGTTTTTACATGCTATATATTATCAGTTTTTAAAGTAATAATTTGACCTCCCAAAGTAAAATGTCCTTTGCTTGCATACGTATTGGCAGTATATCTCTATTTCTGTGTATATATTTACCACTGAAATGTCTGGTCACTATCTTCCCACCCCAAGTCTTAACTTTATGTTGTTCAATGATGAAATCCTGTATTAAGAGTAAGGGCATGTTTATAAAACGAATGTTCATCTACTCAAAGTAAGACATTAATTCTTCTTTAACTGTGTAATAGATTTAGACACACTTTCAGAGGGTAGATAGTACAGAAAATGATTGTAAGTATTTAGTTTTAATTTATACCTCAGACAGCAAAGAGCTATAATAATCGAGGAATGTATAATAAAGTTAGGAGATAGTAAAAAGTAAAGAATAAAACTAAACTAAAATTTAAAAAAGAAAACAAACTTAGATGACTTGGGTATCTGGGGAAAAGGTCTCTAAAAGTTAAATAACAACTGCTCTGTTTAAAACAATATCATTTCAAGGAAACTGTTTTTATTTTAATATAGGTCACATTTTTGTAATTACTTTTCCATTCTCTAAAGAATAAACATGCTTCCCACATTTCAATTAGCCAATAAATATTACTTTACATTTTGGAGATCAAAGCTTTTCCCTTTCATTTATAATTTTAAATATTCTTTGCTGTTAATATTTAGAATTATTTTCCATGGGTGTCAGTGTGTGTGTGTGTGTGTGTGTGTGTGTGTGTGTGTATGCTCAATGATAACGACTAACATGTAACTCTTTCAAATTTTGTCCCCATCGTCACTCTCTTGAGTTGTTGATTACAATGTTAGCACAATGTCATGACTGTCTTATAATATTTATTCAATGGATAGTAAAAGTTGTTTACATATAGCACTTGAATAGATGGTATCTCTCAACTATACTTTCTTATTAAGCTCCTTTCTCCTTTACATTTTTAAAACCTCTTATAGATATAACTGTTTTGAATTTTAATAGTAAAATTAAATGTACTTTTAATAAAACATTATAAAATCAATGATATTAATTTTAGAGATTTTTTAAGTGGACAAATTTAAAAAATTCTTATGTAAATTGACTTTTTATTGCTCAAATTAAGAATATTATACAGATGAAATCAGATAAACCTGGTATTTATTGTTATAATGTGAATTTAAATTACTGACATTATAATTTTATCAATGTTCTTCTAAACCTGAATTTTTTTGTCCATTTATTAACCAACCCTACATGTAGAATGGTAGGTCAGTTCCTAAAGCATCAGCCCTGTGATACGTAGTTAAAATTACAGCACCAGACAAAAAGAGCACCTCCTAGCACAACAGTATTGATATCCTATACACCCAAGCCATTACCAAGTCACACAACTCTTATCTCTTAATTATGATAAATCTGATAAAAATGAAAGTTTAGTTGAATTGCTCACATTATGTACTCCATACTTGCAAAATACTAGTATTACGTTGAGTGACAAACAATTGAATAATCAAACCATGTATTCTGTAACACTTCATACCATCACCAGAGGTATTTTCATTGGAAATAAGGATAGAAGCATGATTTCCCCAGAATCAGTAAATCAGTAAGATTGATGGTTTTGACTTAATGAACATACAATGCTCCTCTTGAAATTTGTGAGACCTGGATTGTTAAACATACTCACTTACCTATAGAGTACTCTTCCACCAATGGTCACCAGGTTAGAAAAAACACTGAAGTCAGTCATGTTTGGGGGCCATGACTGTATGTTCAAGAAACCTACAAGTGAAGAGTAGTAAAAATAAATCAGAATATCATTGTCTTAGTACTAGTGTTGATTTTTCTTGAAATATAGTGAAAATGTGTTGAAAGGAGGGAAATGAGAAAGGACAATGAACATTTCTATTTTTGAAGCACTCTATTACACATGTATTTTTCCAAGATTGAGTGTCCTACTCAAGAAGCACTCTATTACACATGTATTTTTCCAAGATTGAGTGTCCTACTGAATGAAACTATAAATGTTGAAAGGTTCCAGTGACTCAATTTGATTTATTCTTATAAATGTAAAAATGTAGTCTAACTAAAGAGAAAAATATAGTTTCAATTTCTCTGAAATCTTTTACCTCTTCATCTGTACACTTATGACATCAGTGTCAACATTGTATCCTAAGACATTAATATACATATCTAAACTTTCTCATTAGATTTTTCATTATTTTATGGTAAGTCCATGTCTGAATCATATCTATGGGCCCCATATTACCTACTAAGACAGGGTTGAACATATTACATGCTCAATATAAATGTGCTAAATAAATGATACATGTTATCCATGATCAATAGTACTTCTCTTGAAGAAGTAAACAGAAAAACATAGGTCAAAGATCAGTTGACACTTGCCAAAGCAGTAATGTCAAAATTTCAAAGATATTCATTTTATAATTCCATGGGCTTTGAAAATGTGCATAAAAGCTAATAAGACACCACTGTTAAAAATAAGGTTTTTACAAATTAAATTTTGCTTTGAAAATGAGATGCTGATTCCAATCTTTTGTAACTTTTTTTTTTTTTTTTTTTGAGACACAGTCTCCCTCTGTTGCCAGGCTGGAGTGCAGTGGCATGATCTCTGCTCACTGCACTCTCTGCCTCCCGGGTTCAAGTGATTCCCCTGCCTCAGCCTCCGAGTAGCTGGGATTACAGGCATGCATCACCACACCCAGCTAATTTTTATATTTTTAGCAGGTACAGGGTTTCACCAATGTAGGCCAGGATGGTCTCAATTTCCTAACCTCAAGATCCACCCCGCTTGGCCTTCCAAAGTGCTGGGATTGCAGGTGGGAGTCACCGTGACCAGCCAATCTTAGGTCATTTTTTAAAAAAAGTTATATTGTTCATAGCACAACAGTTGCCCTTTAAAAAGTTACCTGTTATCTCTCTGACTGTCCGAAAGACATTCAGTTTCTCTGGGTCTATGGCTTCAATTGCATTGTAAGGGTCCCTAGAAAATCAAGAACACATATAGCCAAATTTAAATTTTAATAAAGGAGTGAAAATATGAGAAATGTTACAATCATTATTTTATTCAAATTTAATTTTAATTAGCAAGAAGGATGTTTTCAATTAATGTCTAAATTTTTCTGTGCTAGACGTGGAAGGGGAATAATAGATGTTTTGGGGAAATTTTTGATGACACAAAATATGAGTTTTACATCAAAGGCTTTGCTAGATCCATACAATTATTCAGCTGCAACTATTCTGATGAAATTCCCAAAGATAATAAGTTCATGTAAAAACCATTTTATTTTATTTTGTTTTAAAAGTTATTCTTAACTGAGAAGACTATACATAGTCTGGAAATAAATTCTAGTGAGAACAACCGGCATTTCTGCTCCTCAAAGAAGCATACATTGCTAATAGTATCTGGTGTTCATAAGGATAGTAACAAACACAGATAAAATCAACATTTTTTTCTGTAGCTCTACATTTATCTACTTGTGAATTTTTATAATATTCATAGCATTGTCTGAAAGCTTCTCTTCATATGGATTACGTAGAACCATCTTGTTCCTATCTAGTTTATTCATATTCATGTTTATAACACAGAAACTATTCACTTTCAAGTACATGAATTCAAGCAAGACTTAAAGATTTTTCAAAGGAATGCACATAAGTTTTAAACTGTTATTACATTTAAAAAGATTTCATACTATCCTGGGTAGAGACCTCATGATATATATTATTTACAGAGAGATTAAATTTTCTCCATTGGCTACTTCTTCAAGATAGATCAAAACTATACAAACAGTGATCGTAGGCTTTTTTAGAAGTATGTATCTACTTGCAGCAGCCAAACAAATTCTATTCTTACTGGGGACATCTCTTCTTTTACCAGTCTCTGAGAACCCTCCTTTTTGGTATGGCAAATAATCACCAGTGACCCACTATATGCAGTCTTAATAGGGATCTCAATCAACGTGCTCCACATTCCCCCGACAAACAGATAGGCATATGGCCTATGTCCTGGAGATTTGTGTCTAAGTCCATTGGCATTTATTCATGCCAGCATTCAATCCTTGAAACGAGTATCAGTTCCAGCAACTTGATCTCTGGAACCACCTTGTACTGGCTTTCTGAACTTAGTTTATCAGCATATTCTTTTCTACTGCAAACCATTCCACATCTTCAAGAAAAAAAAAAAAAACCAAAAAACTTTACTTGATTAAATTACTGTTTTGAACTAAGGAGTGCAATCAATACAATGTACTACTAGTTTAACATGAAGTGCTTTATTCCAGGCTCAAATACTGGATATTGCTGAGGTTGGAGAAATGCTATAAATGTGTTTCCCTATAATTCACACATAAACTATCGATGAAAATTTTCTCAATGTCACATTAATATCTCACAAAAGCTTAAAGTCTCAATTAAATGTTCTAGCAAGCTTGCTCTATTTACAAGCAAAGATATATGGAACAAATAACTATGCTTTAGAAAACTTCACTTTTTAATGTGCAAAGAATTTTGTGTACACAGGAAAATAACAGCTCTGCAGTACAAGAATGAGCTTTCAACATTTGTTCTTTGATGAAAAGCAGTGTATAGAACAGCTCAGGTCATATAATCAAATATCCTGGCTTTATTGAGAAAGACTCAAAATTCAGGGCAAGCACACAATAATGGGGTCAGTCCAAACCTTTACTGAGAATACTTCCATGTTGCCGGGAATGAAATGAAACCTGGAATGCTACTATGAAGCCCAATGGACCACAGATATTTTACACAGTTAATTTTAGAGATTCAGGACTCTCACAAAATAAGTTGACAGAATTCCACTCACTGACTTCAAAGTATGTTTTGGGAGTTGCATCCTACAGCTACTCAAAATCCATAGTACTTTAAATCAGTTAACTTTCCTAACTAAATTCAGAGCCATGCAAAATAACATTGTGTCTACCCTGTCATTGTGTTTAGTGATCCAAAATGGAGCTCAGGAGAAAGAGAGTGAAACATTTTCACTGAAATCACTTCATCACCAAGCTTACTATTTATCTTCCATTTTCTAGCACCATTGCAGTCTACCATGTAAAACCTTTCTTGCCAGTGTTTCATTGTGACACAGCATGAACATGCTTATTTGGAGAGCATTTTGTTACTGTAAGCACATGCACATCAATGTTGTAAATCATAACAAAACATGAAAGAAAAGTTTTGCTAATGATAACCCTAAACACTGAGGTTTCCTGCAGTTTCCATTCTAAAAAGAAAATGAGTGCCTACTACTATTCCTCGTGATAGTACCATTGCACCATAAACTAAACATGCAAATTAACCTCCTTGAGCCCAATTATATATTAAAATTTTAATTGGCAAGTTGCCAATAAATATATTTTACGGAGAAACTTGTTTTTAAAAAGCATAACAGCCTCATTTAAGTATTATTTTTGCATTTTATTAGTTAAAACATCTCAGCTATTTTAATCAAACCATATGATATTATAAAAGTTCATCAGCAAAATATTAAAGGTAATGGAAATTAAGTGAGAAAAAGCATTTTTAAAATTTATTGTAAGTTTTCTGCTTATATCATATATTATCCACCTTTAAAATATCTCTGTCTACACACACACACAAACACACACACACACACACACACACTCATGACCATACTTGAATCTATACATATATTACATGTCTAAGTCTACTGAATTAACTTTATATCCATACTTTCCTAAAACAAAAGAGAAAGGCTTCAGAATATATGTTTCATGCTGGAATGACAGTGAGAATAAAGAATATGTCGTAATTCATTTACATGCTTATCCTGGAAAATATCTTATAAATTATGCTTGAGACCCAATTATACTCATAATTTCAACCATTCCAGGTATAAGTGCTATGATTAAGGACAAATAATCATCTGAACTGAGAAGTATGACTCATCTTAAGAAAAATTTTGCCTTTATTTGGTTTCCAAAAGGGTCTATATAAGACTCTAATGAAGTCTATACAACTAATACTTGTTGCAGAATATGCTATGCTACAAACTAGACACAGGCACTGCAATTTTTCTTTTGTACTGCCTTCTTCTCTCCCTGCTTTGTTTTTCCTTTTCATTTCTCTCTATTCCCATCTTTCTCACTCTTTCTCACTCTCTTCCCTTCCTTCCTGCACTTCCAACCTTGTATTTTATACCACTTGTCAAGGTTGTACAATATGCCAGGCACTGGGCTGAGCAATTCAAAATAATTCGTTTTTAATCGCCACAACAATCATAGGAAATAGGTATTTATTGTTAATTCCTTTCTCAAGTTTTTTATTGGAGGAAACCTAGTGTTTGACATGAAAGAAATCCACCCAACTCAATGCAAACTCTCCATAGTGGAGCTGCAAATCAGACTCCAATCTACTCTGGATCAGATTATCCAAGAAGGAATTCTAACTCTCACTTTCTGAGTTTACATTTAAGACAAACTTGGTTTACTTTCTACTTTTAATCCATGTAAGTTGATTTTCCAGAATTTTTCACCTGGATAAATTAGCAGTATTTTTCTCCTTAGGAGTCTTGGTTAGTCCAAAGCAGTATTCTTCCCATAAACCTGTAAATGCATGGCCCTTACCGTCTTAGACATTTTTATTCATTTGACTACTGTTTTCCATTTTTTATTATATTTATTTATTAAACTTTCCTCCATTCTGAGCCAGAAGTGAATAAAATAAATATATGTAGTCACTATAGTCATTCTAGAGGTTTTGTTTGTTTGTTTTTTGACAGTCTCACTCTCTCTGTTTCCCAGGCTAGAGTGTAGTGGTAGGATCTTGGTTCACTGTATCCTCTGCCTCCCGTGTTCAAGTGATTCTCCTGCCTCAGCCTCCTGAGTAGACGGAACCATAGGTGTGTGCTACCATGCCAAGCTACTTTTTGTATTTTTAGTAGAGACTGAGTTTCACCATGTTGACCAGGATGATCTCGATCTCTTGACCTTGTGATCTGCCCGCTTCGGCCTCTCAAAGTGCTGGGATTATGGGCATGAGCCACTGTGCCTCGTCAGAAATCTGGAGTATTAATAATTATGTTCTATGATGAACCAAAACTAAAATAACTATTCTGAACCTCAATAAATCATGTATTTTTTAAACCTTCCTACCCATGTTTTATCTGTAAGAATTTTAGACTTAGCGGGTCACTTTTGGTGGTTTGCAGTCTTTCTACTGTCACAAAATTCTTGCAGTGTTTCTCAGTGGGGACAGTACCACCCACTGACAGGAAGTTGTCACATCTGTAGAGCTGCTTCAGTTGTAACAGAGATTGGGGAATCCTACAGGTTACAGGGGTTATCACAAGGTTGTTAACTGTCCCTTAAATCAAAGGACTGCCTCATGTTTTGTACAACTTTAACATACCCTACTAGACATTTAGGACCTCATATGTGAAAACTTGATGCTTGGTCATACTTTGGCCAGGCATAATTCCCTAGCTGTGTTGCTCCAGTTTCACTTGATCTTAGCCAAAAAGCCAAGAAGCAATTTACTCAAATTTCAATGAAAGTCATTTCCCTCTTTTTTTGGTCATGTAACAATGTATCTGGTTAGTTGTTTCCTATTCTAGTGCTCAGCTTTTCCTTTGCTTTTTATTTCCTGATACCTCTTATACAAAAATGCTTTCCAATTTCATTTTTCATAAATCTAAATTTTCACATTGGAAACCGTGAATTCCCATAACAATATATATTTGATTGTATCTTATTTTTTTGTATTTCTTTTTATAATTACAACTAGAGAATTATAATAGAGATATATATGTAAGTCATATTATCTATAAATTTTATTTCAGAATTGAAAAGTGGCAATTTCTTAATATATAAAAGCAGAATGTTGGACCGATAAGGATAAAAACCACCTGTCTAATGCAATTCATGTGAATATGATTTCAACTCTTTCCTCATACTGAAAGGCTTGATGCGAATTCATCCATTATTTCCAGGTGAAAGCAGGCAATGTGAGTCAAGTGGCTTTCTCTTCTTATTTCTCAGAAGACATTATTAGCATAATATAATCTTATATTCATGTGATATTTGGTTTTAAATATAGTTAAATGTGGGTATATTGCTTTATTAAATATCATATATGCATTAAATTATGAAACAACATCTAAATATTGTCCCAGGTCTCTTACGCAATGATCCAAGGAGGGTAAGACAGCAATGTAAATGGATTCACAAGGCCATGGTAAAGTTGACTAAATGTGTCCCACCTCTAAAGGACTTGTGCCACTAATAGGCTTTGGCTGTGTCCCCACCCAAATGTCATCTTGAATTGTGCTCCCATAATTCCCACATGTTGTGGGAAAGACCCAGTGGCAGGTTACTGAATCATGAGGGTGGGTCTTTCCCATGCTGTTCTCATGATAGTGAGTATGTTTCATGAGATATGATGATTTTATAAAGAGGAGCTCCTTACACAAATTCTCTCTTGCATGCCACCATGTAAGACATGCCTTTCTCCTTTGCCTTCCACCATGATTGTGAGGCCTTCCCAGCCATGTGAAACTGTGAGTCCATTGAAACTTTATTCCTTTGTAAATTACCCAGTCTCAAGTGTGACTTTATTAGCAATGTGATAACTGACTAATCCAGCTTCCCAGTTCCAACAGACTGATGCCATGTAGGAATATGGGCTGAGAATTACCAAGTCTATACATTTTAAGAGGTAAATTAGAAAAAACATTTCTTAGGCCAGATATCAAAAATATGGGGTGGGGACTACCTGCATACTATTATACTACCTAACATGGGACCATATTAAAAGCTACCTATTAAAATAAACAAGATATTTAAGCAATCATACATATAATTTATTTGAATGAAAAGAAACATTTTGTTCTATTGTTCTTTCCATTCCTCTTTGGACATATTTATTCATAATATGTTAAATTAGTTTGCTTTTAGAAATGATCTGATATATGCTCAGAGTAAGATTTTGAATTGAAATATATGAGACATAGTCTTTATCTGCAGCCTGCAACACTAATATTTAGGGATTGAGTAGTAATACAGATAAATAGATAACATACAAAGTTAAAATACAGACTTTCAAAGAATACACATTTGTTTTTTTCCCAGTTAAAACCAGCAGGTAGTTCTGTAAATGAAGGAGCCCAGGTAAATTATGTTACAATTTGTATTACTAAAATGAAATTCATTTATCAGGATTTCTCACTGTGTTGCTAACTTCCCAACTGAAGGGAAAAAAAAGAAAAAGAATACATGAGGACAAAGAATTTCTGGAAGAAGCTCAGGGGAATTTCAGCTTACTGATTTGTTTTATGTCAGACTTTTTACAGGGTATTAATTTATGTTGTTTCAACCTAATCAGTTAGAAATTTGAATGACTTCTCTCACCTCAACTGGTGACACTTATTCCTAAACATATCCAAAGACAAGTGAAGCTTGCTGAAAACTGTGAATTTGAGAGAATGTCCTGAAAATATTTTTTAGTTTAAATACAAATTTATATTTTCAACCTTAAGTAGTCACCAAACTAAAATTTGAGCAAATTCCAAAACTAGTCACTTCTGGTGAAATCAGGCCCTTGCTTTCATTGGTGAGGAGCATTAATGAAAGGTAAAACTCTTCAGCTTCCAGAGCAATCCAACAAACAAGACTAAAGAATCTCTTCGGCTTTGTCTACACTACGTAAAATAATTTGTACAAAATTTAATACTGACCCATGTATACCAGTGACTAAAAATATCAAATTCCCATTGATCTTGGTACAGTTTATGAATTTGTCAATGTTACTGGAATCCACAGTCTGAGCTGACATCAGTGATCCTGTGCCAATGCCATCACAAGCTGTAGAAACAAGACTCAGAGTTAGGGGATTGAGGAACTTATTTTTGGCCAATAAATCATTGTATTTTGACTATAAAATAGCAGAGTGTTTTTAATTGTAACATACAAACATATATTGAAATTTTTTTTCTTTAAAAAGTAAAATAATTATTCATTCATTCATTCAACATTCACTACTGGTTCTGCTTTAAAATCTTGTCCCTGCATTAAAATCTAACGACCACGACTCATCATAGGAGTTACATTTTATATCAAGACCCAATATACACACACACAACATATACAAAACTCTAATGAAATTTTATCAATCAATACTCCTCTTAACTACATAAAATTATCTATTTTCTACTCCATTTGAAAATACTATTTTTAATAATTTTGAAATGCTGGTAACTTTAGCAAAATAATTTCATGGCCTACATACTAATGGTCTACCACCTGAAATTTTTAAAGCAGTGGTCTAATGGTGAATATATAAACAAAGAGTTCTGATGATGTGAATTATAAACAGAATCAAGGGCCATTTAAATATTTATACTTAAATTGAACACGCTTTCTGAAGCTTCTAATTTAAACAAACAAATCTGTGTTGGGATGGGGCATATAGAGAAAGAGAAAGGGAATAAGGAAGAAAAAGAGAAAGGGGAGGAGAGAGAACAGTGTTTAAAAATAAGTCTGGAGTTTGTCCTTTTCTAAGGCACTCCTTGATACTTTGAAAAGTTTAATAACATTCAGGAGATTCAAACTGTACTTTCATCTTGCTTAATTTAGGTTTCATTCTGGTAAAGAATTAGAGTACTCACAGCTGGAAGAGATTCCTTCCTCCACTAAAATTCTATGGCATGAATTATGGGATATATTTATTTTATATTTATGGTAAAGTTTCTCATCATTTCATAGATCTTATCTTTCAAAATACATTTTTAATATATGGAGAGCAAATTTCACGTCCCTCTGCATCTCTTTTTATGCTTAGCAGATCACTTTGTATACAGCAGCAAGCAACTCATATGCGTTGTGATGCCAATGGAACTGTGTGAACTCTTATTTTTTACAAAGCATTTAAGATTTGCTATTGACAGAATAACATGCAACTTTATTTCTGAGTTCCTATCAATGTTACCTCTGAGTTTTTTTCTGGGCCATTTTAGTAAATATAATTAAAATTGAATAATACACAGTGTTATAAAAGTTGATATTTTGAGGAACTGTCCAAAATCCTGGAAAGTGTGTGTGGGCAGGTTTGGTTGTGAGGGTGGGTTTATATTAAAAAGTGAATTAAAAACCTTGTTATATAGGCCCAGTTCTAACTAAATAATCTGAGCTACCACTTACCTTTTGGGCAAATATCAGTGCAAGGTTTACACATTTTAATCCCATTTTCTTCTACTTCCATCTTGGAGCTAGGGCAGGCACGCACACAAGAACTGGAATCCACCACAAAGTTATCTGTTTGTTTGTTTGTTTGTTTGTTTTAAAAAAAAGGCAAAATAAGCAATAATGTTAACATTCATCAAACAAGATCAAAACAAGATATTTTAAGGTTTGAAAATGATTAGCATCATTGATAGTATTTATATATCTTCCCTTTAACAACTCTTTAATTATCCCAACCTGAAATTGTATTTTCAGTCAAATGCAATGTGTGTTATCAACAGCTAGTACTTCCTTGGTTACTGCTCCACATCCTGAATTGCCCCCAAGATAGAGTAGATTTCTTTTATATACTTAGGAAACTGCATGACATTTAGCTTGGGTTTTTCAGTAGTTCCACATCATTTCATGCCATGATACAAGTCTGCAGTCTAAAATACTTCAAGTTCATGAAGCACAAATGAAGCTTAAGTTGAACTGCCTTGGATCAACAGAGTACACTTCATAGCCAGGAGAAAATGCTTAAAATGTGTTCTTCTTTTCAATGGAGTACCACGAAAACTTTCTCACATTTTTATATGAGGAAACAAAATAAAATTGGAAAGGGTAGTACTTTAGAAAATGTTTATCAAATAGACAAGGAGCATTTTATTACCTAATACTTGGATCAAATGTCCAGAAATCCAGTGACCTGGGATATGCCAGAACATACCCCTCCAAAATAAAAGACAAATTATTACATCTAAAGACTCTCGTAATAAATAGGAATGCAATACTTGCTAGGCCACTGTGGTTTTAAAACAACAAAAAGTAGCATCCTTTCATGCTTGGGAACATTGCTCTGGCACAAGATGCAATGTTGTGGAATGCGTACAGTCTTGAGGGGTGCCCAAAGCAGAAAATGCATATCATGTAGATCCAGGTTGTGATGCAAGCAATTTTGCTACTTGGGCCATAAAATCCAAGAGGGTCTATGATATCGGGGGTATCTACAGTGGGAAAATATGCCATGTAGAGTTATGACAAGTTTCATTAGACAATCACAACAGAGACTTCTAGGTTTCTAGAGCTAAGCTATGCCATCTGTAGCATAGGATTGTATGCCATTTAAAAACAGCATGTGACATGCTTCTGGGTCCTGGTAGAGATGGATCTTGGGTCAGACCTTGTAGCCAGAATTGCCTGTCATGAACAGGGTTTTGTTATCATGTCACAATATTATCATAGTGGCCAGGTCCAGCAGCAACCTATTGTACAATTAAAGTAGGATATGAGTAGGGGCAGAAGCAGGAGTAAAACTACATAAGCAAATGGTTAAGACCCCCTCATGCCATCCACCACTGAGCTGGCCCCTCTCAGTCAGCTCATACCTGTGGCTGTGTGGGGGCTGAGAGAAGTCATTTAGGACAAACTGACAGAGTAAGACATAAACTAGACTTGCTATGTGGATATTAGCTGACAATGGCAGCTTCTCTGTCTGCAGTCTCACATATGAGTGGACTTGAAACACACAGACAAGAGAAAATCTTACCAAAGGCCATAATTCTAGGTAGTGAAACTGATTACTCATTTGTATGAAAAGAGAAGTAGCCTGAGCTTAGAATATATATGAACTCACGAGCTTGTCCTGGGAGAAGAAATACTGGAAAATTTGAGAAGAAAGGGAATCTGGGTCAAGGAGATACGTGTGAATCCATGTGAGTGGGTACAAAGTATGGAACGAATTAGTATTCCAAATTAACATCCACATGAAAGCATCCACCACAACAAACAGGCACTTTGTTTAAAGCAAATCCAATCTTGCTTTCTTTCCTTCCCCAAAAAGTGTTGATTTTGATACTGCTCCTTAATAACCTATTCTCTGTCTCAGGGGAACCCAACCTGTAACAGGTACATACATGATATTAAATAGCCATTCTTTCTTCAAGGTCTTGTGATATGGTTTGGATCTATGTCCCCAGCCAAATCTTATGTGGAATTATAATCCCCAGTATTGGAGGTGGGACCTGGTGGGAGGTGACTGAATCATGGGGGCGGCTTCTCATGGTTTAACACCAACCCCTTGGTGTTGTCGTAGCAAGAGTGAGTTAGCATGAGCTCTGGTTGTTTAAATGTGTGTACCACCTCCTGTCTCTCTCTTCTTCTTGCTCCGGCTGTGTAAGACATGCTTGCTTCCCCTTCACCTTCACTGTGACTGAAGATTTCCTGAGCCCTCCCCAGAATCCCTCATGCTTCCTGTACAGCTTGCAGAACCATGAGCCAATTGCACCTCTTTTGTTTAACAATTACCCACTCTCAGGTATTTCTTTATAGCAGAATATGAACAAATTAATGCATCTTAAAAAATATGCTACAATGAAACACTTTCCCACTTTTGCCAAAAGGAATGGATAAATATTATAATTAGCCTTGTATCAGTTAGATTCAACTTTTGTAGACAAATGAGTTTCAGAAAATACATGTTTGGACTTATTTGATTTCAGAATTCTGGATTAGGAAATGCAGACCTGCATTTAGAAACTTAATGTCCTTGTTTTCCCAAGAAAGCTTCAATTTGGCAAACCAAGCCTTGTAAGCCAGGCTCATCAGAGATTTAAATTTTTTTCATAGACAAATATTGAAGTGTTTTAAATGTGTCTGTAGTTTGAGATACTTAAACTAATGTGAGAAAGGAAGAAGGTAAGTTATCACATTTAAAGTGAACCAGCCATATAATTTCACACAATAGGTCTTCATATTTAGTCACTTGCTACTTGCTATAGTTTGGAACTGACAGCGTTCAAGTGAACCACTGTAAAGGATATAGTAAAGAAAAGGGGAATTCCCTAGTTCAAATTTGCCTGGTACTTCTGCTCTAGCCCAACCCTTGGGCTTCAACCTCAGGACTTGAATAAAAGGGAAAGCACCAAAAAACTCTGAGAAAGCATAGTTTTGACTGTCTTTGGGGAAGGCATCATAATTTGAAAGTAGTAGAGTAGGTAGTAGTATAACATGTGTCTAAAAAGAGGAAAGATACGATCATCTAGCCCCATCCTACAATACTGCCAAGTCTTCAGTTTTGTAAGGATGGTAGATGGTGACATATAGGGTAACTTTAGATAAGAAGGTATTAGATGAAAAGCACTGGTGTGAATATTAAAAATTTAAGATGTGAAATCTTCGTTGTCTTAGAGTTAGTGTGTCTGTGACTTTAAAATGCTATTTAAAAGACATATTAAATATACATACATATAAACATAAAGAAGGCAAAGCACAATTTTGTTAATGGATATGAACATGTTTCATAATAATGACTAGAATTGTATTTTCAAAGCCTTTTTAAATAATCTACTCCTTTTGGCCAGGCATGGTGGCTCATGCCTGTGATCCCAGCACTTTGGGAGGCCAAGTCGGGTGGATCACCTGATGTCAGGACTTCAAGACCAGCCTGGCCAACATGGTAAAACCCCGACTATACTAAAAATACAAAAACTAGCTGTGCTTGGTGGCATGTGCCTGAAATCCTAACTACTCAGAAGCCTGAGGCAGGGAAATCACTTGAACCTGGGAAGCAGAGGTTGTAGTGAGCCAAGATTGCACCACTGCACTCCAGCCTGGGTGACAAAGCAAGACTCTGTCTCCAAAAATAAAAATAGAATATCTATCCTTCTCATCCTTATATCCTACCTATATCTTTGATTGTTATAATGACTCTGGAAAGCAAGAAAGGAATACATTTATTTTTAAGACAGAGTTTTGTTCTTTTTGCCCAGGCTGGAGTGCAATGGCATGATCTCGGCTCACTGCAACCTCTGCCTCCCAGGTTCAAGCATTCTCCTACCTCAGCCTCGCAAGTAGCTGTGATTACTAAAGGTGTGTACTAACACACCCGGCTAATTTTTGTATTTTTAGTAGACATTGGATTTAACTATGTTGGCCAGGCTTGTCTTGAACTCCTGACCTCATGCGATCCACCCGCCTAAGCCTTCCAAAGTGCTAGGAATACAGGCATGAGCCACCGCACCCAGCCAGAGATATAATTTTTATAACCCACATCTTAAAGAAGAGGAAATAGAGAACTAAATGTTTTATTTTAAAATCATGTAGCTAATAAGGAGACAAAGCCACAATCCATAGACACTCTAATCCCATGTCCCTTATACAGATTGAGTATCCCTTATCCAAAATGCTTGGGACCAGAAGTGTTTCAGATTTCAGAATTTTTGGGATTTTGTAATATTTGCATAAACATAATGAAATGCCTTGGGGCTTAGACCCAAGTCTAAAAACTATGTTCAGTTTTTATGAATCACATATACCTTTACATATGACCTGAGGTAATTTTATACAATATTTTAAGTAACTTTTTGTATGAAAGACAGTTAGTGTACATTGAACCATCAGAAACAAAGGTGTCACTATCTCAGCCACCTGCATGGACAATCTGTGGTTATTTGGCATCACCGTCATTCATGACTCTAAATTTATATACTACTGATAAGCAATCACATTCTTACACTTATTCACACATAAATATGTAAAAGTAACAAAAAAAAAGAGTATACCACTAACACAGTGAAAAGATACTGTGTTCAGAATAACTAGATATCACAGTAGAATCACCAGAATACCTGTATCAGCTGTGAAACAAGAGCAACAATAAACGATGCAGGTTTTTAGTGCCCAACTATGACGCTGTGTTTTGATTAAAAGGTTACTATACACTGTGTCTTCTTAGGTACCAAGAAACATCAGAAACAGTTGAGGAATAAGGGAATGGGTCCTACAGGGATAAGGGGACTTTCTGCTTGGATGGCTTTCTAAAATGTTTCCTCCGGGGTCATCTGCCTCATTAACAATGAATTTTGTCTTAGAAATCTCATTTTAATTGCATAAACTCATATGATTTCTTGTTCTGTTATGAATGCACCATGCCCTAGTCCTTCAATAAACTCGTAACACATTTTCATCAAGCCATCTCTGGAACTTTTTATGTAATGTTAAAAACATCTTAACTGTCACTATTACCACAATCACTTTTATTCAGAGCCACCTCTGCTATTTCACCATCAGTCAATGAAGGAACAACTCGTTATCAATGTTAAACACTTCTGTGATATCCACTTCTTCCAGCTTACTGATGGACTCTGAAGGTATATTTTTTTCTTACTTGGCATAGGGAATCTTTCCAAGTAACTACCTTTTCCCAGAACATAGTCACAAGTCAGAGGTTGTACCAGGCATGCAAAACTGTGTCTTTAGTTACTGTGTTCCAAGCACTGACAACAGCATATACAGCATTCTTCATGCTAAGCTCCTTGGGAAAATCTTCCCACACACAGGCCTCTGTTCACTGCTGCTAGCACGCTGCTCATGCCTGTAATCCCAGCACTTTGGGAGGCCAAGGCGAGTGGATCATGGGGTCAGGAGATCAAGACCATCCTGGCTAACACAGTGAAACCCTGTTTCTACTAAAAATACAAAAAAAATGGCCAGTTGTGATGGCAAGTGCCTGTAGTCCCAGCTACTCGGAAGGCTGAGGCAGGAGAATCACTTGAACCTGGGAGGTAGAGGTTGCAGTGAGCTAAGATCCGCACCAGCTACACTTCAGCCTGGGAGACAGAGAGAGATTCTGTCTCATAAAGTGGGGTGAAAAAAAAAAGTGATTTTGTATTTACTCTTCATTTACTCTTCAGACTATAATGAAGGAGAGTCTGGTTACATGGCTGAATTAATGAAGTCATATTTGGGGGAAAGCACATGGCATAAACATTATTTTTGATGAGCGTTTCAGCTGCAGGATGAGTAGAAAAATTGTCAAGAAAAAACAAAACCTCACAGTCATCATCCAGTCCAGCTTCCCAGCAGTGAGCAGGAAGTGCTGGTTCAAAATGTTTGGGTGAAGTCAATAAGAAAAGTTGTTCTGGTAACCCATGCATTTTTGGTAGCCTAATAATTGACTGGTAAGAAGTTTTCTGTGGAGACAGTGAGGATGCAACCTTTTGCCTACCATAGCAAGTTTACAATGATGTGTGCCTGCTGCATTAGCACATTCCAGTACAGTTATTCTATCTTTGGCATCCTTATTTCCTGCAGGGGCTGTCTAATGAACTGTGGTCAGTGTTTTTCTGGAGGAATAATGCCAAATCAGTGATGTTTCATCAGCATCACAGAATTGTCCTGGTGTCAGATATTTATCAGTGATGACCCGGGCAAACTCATTGATAAATTTCTCCACTGCTTTGTGATCAGCAGATGTTTTGTCACCATGAATCTCTAAAGATGTAATGTCATGTCTTTTCTTACATTTATGTGGCCAGCCTGTTGAATATTTACAGTTATCTTCAACTTTCAGTTAATTGTGCTAGATCTTTGCTTGTTTCATGATCAGCATATCATTATGTGGCATATGTTCAGCTACACGCTGACAAATTCATTCTTTCAATACACAAGCAAGATCTTCATTATTAGCTTTATCCAGTGTTATTCTATTTTTCATTAGCTTCTGTTTGTCATTTTCAGCACAGGACTCCAACAGTTTATCCTTCTGTTTCTTCAGGTCACACAAAGTGTTCATTCTCACACTGTACTCTTCTCTAAGATGTTGCACACTTACACCATTCTCCCATTTCTCCAAAAGCTTGACTTTCTGTGCTACAGATAAACATAAATGTTACCTCTTATTCTTACCACTCTTACTCAGAGGCCTTTTTGACATTTTCAACAATATCTCAACACCTCAGAGCATAGAGTAAGCAACAAAACCCAGTGAGTAATGCACAAAGGTCTTGGCTCCATGTGGGGTATTTTGGAAAACCTCCCATCAGTGTGTCTGGCCTGCACATTTGCCATTTTATTGCCCTTTGTGGGTATGCTTCCCTGGGGAGATCTGGGTATCCATGAAAAAGACACATCACAGTTGAAAGGGGCTGAGAGTGTGTTTCTTTTCCCCCCTTTTGGGAACACTAAATAAACTGTGTTGTGTATATTTTGACTGTGACCCGTCACATGAGGTCTGTTGTGGACGTTTCCATTTGTGACATCATGTCAGCACTCTAAAGCTTTCAAATTTTGGAGCATTTCAGATTTTGGATTTTTGGATTATGGATGCGTAGCCTGTACTTCCTACTGTATCACATACACAAAGTGAAGTAAGTCACATTACATGTATGGTACAGACTCTAAAGAATTCTTTTAAATGAGTACATAAAAATATATGGGGATTTTTTTTCTGCCTTTCCAACAGGAAATATCTCATTGGTCACTCAAAGGAAAAAAAAAAAAAAGATTCAAGTAAATATCAATATGTTATTCTGAATATCTGATGAAAGTTAAGCTATTCATTTTGAATCCTCAGGATATTATCAGTTTAAGATCCTTTAACATACTCTATATATATGGTTTTTTAAATTGCATTTTAGGTTTTGGGGTACATGTGAAGGGCATGCAAAATTGTTGCATAGGTACACACATGGCAGTGTGGTTTGCTGCCTTCCTTCCCCTCACCTGTATCTGTCATTTCTCCCCATGCTATCTCTTCCCACCTCCCCACCCCCCCGTAGGTTAATTCGCTATTAAATATCTCTCTCTGTCTCTCTCTCTCCCTCTTTGTGTGTGTGTGTGTGTGTGTGTGTGTGTGTGTGTGTGTGTGTGTGTAGTTTAAGGTTAATTTGATATTAAAATTATAATGCTAAATATTCTAGTTACAAATAAGAAATCAGAAGTAATTTTAGGTAAAAATCCATCGTTATAAGAATCAGACCCTATTCATTACATAGCTTGCTGCCACTTAACTAATTACTTTTTGGAGAAATGGTACGACAGGCAAAAATGTTGTGGTATAGTAAAAACAGTAAGAGTTTTATAACCTCAAACATGTTATTTTTTTTACTATGAAACTTTACACCAACCACTTTAAATTTTTGGTTTAGTTTCCTTATTTATAAAATGGCAGTAATAGTACCTATACCCACCTATACCCAAAGCACTTAACAATATTCTTACAAGTTCCACATTAAAATAAACTAACATACAATTCCTCTGATTTCAAATAATGACATAATTAATTTGGTTATTCTTATTCTGTTACTTACGTGGACATTTCTTGACACAGAATGCTCCATACGTGTACTTTGCATTGAAATTGTGCTCCAGTTGAAAGGTGGTTGGATTGTAGACAAAGGTCTGGGGACACTGAGTAACACATGCTCCACTGTCATTGAAATTCATGCAGGCCTGCAACATAGCAAATATTACTTTCATTTACAAGTAAACTTCATAATACTTGTTAACAAAACACTGCCAAATATGCAAAAGTTGTTTTCTTAGTATATAATTATTCCATAAATACTAAAAAATTTGATAATTTTAAAGTCATGTGTGTTTCTTAAATTTCATAAAATTTTTTTTGCAGTGTCACTAAATAGGTCCTTTACGGTTACTGATGCTTGAAGTGATTAATATATATCTAGTAATTTCTAAATTGAGAATTGGTTTAAGGTTAGCTAACAGTGAAAAATTATTGAAGTTTACACTTACTCAAAGCATTTATGCTTAGCTAGAGTATAGCACTTGCAACCAAATCCCTAATTCTATAGGGTAGACATTCACTTGAGCTAGTCATCATCCAGTCCAGCTTCCCAGCATTGAGCAGGAAGTGCTGGTTCCAAATGTGTGGGTGAAGTCAATAAGAGCTGGCCAAATACAAATACAGAATATGTAATGCCAAAATGTAAAGAGATAACTAGATATAATTAGCTTATAATTAAATAATATGATGTAATTTCTAGTATGGCTTTTTTCCTAATGCCACTCCATTCAGTAAAAGCCATCATGTAGAAGTAAGTTCATTTCTGCTGACTCACATATTTATATTAAGAACTCAATTTATTAATATTTTCAAATTCATTTAGGAAGAATTAAAAACAATTTTATCACCTGAGAGGTAGGCATTTGATATAAAAACAGAGTATGTGTATTAGTCTATATAAACATGTGATTAACAAAAGTGTGGATGAGTTAATTCTTTTTATTAAGAAATCAAGTCATTTTAGGAATAATTTAGGACTTGGAAAGCAAGCTAATCTGAACTCAAGTGATGATTTACATTTAATCATAAATAGTACATATGGTTATTAATAAGCATTAATCTATTCTGTTTCCTCAAAACATTTGCTTCATCAATTGTTGTTTTAGCAAGCACTTTATCATAAACATGACAATTCCCTGATGATGGTCTACTAGATGCATAATCAGAACGAGACTTACTGATGATACATTATTCACTAAGATGACGCATTCTAGGAAGAATCCATTAAAAACCAATCTAGAAAACTCAGCAAGTTTTAATTTATGGTTATAAAACTTCATGTGTCCTTATAATTGCTTTACTAACATATTTTATGCAATGTTGTACACAGATTGCTTGGGAACAAAGAAACATAAGTCAGAGGAATAAAACAAATTTACCTTTCAGGCAGCGTACAAAACAATGTAACTTACACTATGGCCTTAGTCTGGTATTTGAACATTCTGTACCAAAAGCCAAAGTGGAATCACTGGACCATTCCATAAAAGTAATGGAGTGATAATTTGAAGTTCACTCAGTACTGTACTTATCATGATAATGGAACCGTGGAAAAAACTGCACTGCAAAACTTCTGAGAGGTTTTGCTATTGCTGTTTATTGTTATTGTTTTGGAATTGTAATACAATACCTGCAGTGTTCAGTGTCCTCAGAATCAAGCTTCCATCCTATGTCTGATGATAGACAGAGGAAGTTTCTCAGTTCAAGACTTGCGGAGTATCTCCTTTAAATTTTTAACATTATTTCCCTTTCTTCTTCCTCCCTATCCACTTCTGCAATATGTATTTTTATTTCACTATTGAATGAGTGTAGATGATAATAGTTCTTATGATATTAATAAAACTAAGAAATTACTGTCTATATCATAAGAGCTTTAATATATAGTTTACTCATTTCTGGAATTAGGTAGTCTTTTATTTTTTTTAAGCTCAATTCTACTATATATATTTGCTGGATATTTGAAAGAAAAAATGTGTTCATTTTCAGCTATAAAAATATTTGTGTATTTTTATGATTTTTAGTTTTAAAATTAAACTGGTGTACTTTATATGTGAAATTGAGTTAACTAAAACTCAGAATTGCTGATATGCATACCAAAGAACAAAGAGTACTGTCAGGAATATGATATCAAAATATAAAAACTGTCTCTAACAAACTATTTGTAAATCTTAAATTTTTAAATAATATTACCTTTAAAATTATAAACTAGAAAATACTGAAACTCAAAAATATATCCTCTATAATATTTTAATTTACGTTCAAGAAATAAAATTCAGTTGCTCCCACTCCCAGAACGCAATGATGCAACCACATAAACAGGTAATCACTCAATCACTACATTTCTAGAAAGGATGCTATTAGAGTCTAAAAAGATATCTCAATCTATTCTCTAGTGAATCTTATCTGTAATGTAAATTATATCAGAAAATACAATTCATTTAATAGAAGAGAACAATTCTAGTTAATCAATAGCCAACTCAGTGAGGGAATGACTTCGAGGAGGACCGAGCATTTTTCTTAATCCTCAAGTGGCTAAAGTTGATATTATTGTAATAAGATAAAGATTCAATATGTCTGAGCCAAATAGGAAGGGAAAGGGGAGCAGGATAATAAAAGAGAGAAATAGCAGACATACGAAACAGTCTGTGTCCTTAGGTCCTGAGCATCCTCCAGCACATTCTCGATGGCAGCAGTCACTGACGTAGGGTCCATAGCATCTGCCGTCACATTGTTCTGCACACACTGTCCTTGTCACTGCAGAAGACCGAGATAGGACCGAGATCAAAGTCTTCCACCAACAGAAACTCATAAGCAGAGTTCTGGAATGACAATTTCTAAACCTCTTTGACTCAATTCAGAAAACATTTAATGAAAGAGGTTTGCAACTAGATCAAAATTGTTACACAAAAGTCTCCAAAATTAATATACAATTATTTTATTTTTATATTCTTTCTTGTTTTAGCAAATAATTATAGTGCTTTATGACAATTATACAACTTAACAAGAAAGGCTCCAATTTGAAGCCAGGCACAGTGGAGGGTGCCTGTAATCCCAACTACTTGGGAGGCTGAGATAGGAGGACTGCCTGAGGCCAGCAGTTCAAGGATACAGTGGGCTATGACTGCACTTGTGAATAGTCGCTGCACTCCAGCCTGGGCAGCACAGCATGACTCTGTCTCTAAAATTAATAAAAGAAAAACAGAAATGACTAAATAGACATTTGGCAGGCTAGGAAAGGTGAAGTCAATTCACACAATGTATATAGTAAGCTCCTAGTAGAAGGTGTCTCCAGAAATGGGTCTGAGATTTTCAGTAGTCAATGTAGAAAGGGACACATAAACGTCTAGTTAATCCACATAATATTTCACATGAGGAAAGAAAGAGAAAAGTCAAGAAAATACGGGGAGGGGAGGGGAGGGAAGGGGAGGGATGGAGAGGGAAGAGAGGAAGGAAAGAAAGAAGGAAAGAAAGCCATTCATAGTAAACACAACAAAAAGTATCATTGCTCTTTTCTTACGTTTCAATCAAAGCTGACAGCATCATATAAAGGATACTTTCGCAAAACCAATGCTAAAGACTATGCATTAAAATTATAGTAATAAGAGACAAAATTCTGCTCATCTCACTTATTCCAAAAAATATTTTTATAGTATTTAAGGTATGAATTTTACAGGATATGTATAGTATATAATTTCATGGTTTCTGTATTTTCACTTCAGCCTTGTTTCTGCCTACATTTTTAAATAGCTCTTCTAAGTTTCTTTGTTGCTACTTATCAAGATTCTGCCTCGTAAACATTAGCATTCCCCAGACGGGTTCTTGACAATTTTTTGGTGGTGGGGGGACTATGGCTCATTCCTGGGTAAAAGTCATTCATCTTCTACTTAGCATACTGTCAGTAGATGACTTTCGGATCTAGAACTGAGTTCTCTGTAGAGCTGCAGCATGTACTTCCAGCCGTCTACAGAAGTCCCCATTTTGATATGCAAGGTGTAAAACACAGAACGTAACTTTTCCTCCAACACCCACTACTGAGTGTATTTCTCCTCTAAGTTCCCTTATCTCACTTGATGGAAGTACCAGATATCCAGTAGCTTGCTAGCAATTTACAATGTATTTTCTGTATCCTATCCTCTCATCATCACTTCTCATACTTAATAAAATTGCCAAGTATTAGCAACTGTTTCCTAAATATTTCTCAGTACATTCCCTCTTTTCTATTCCGACTTTTCAAAAGCCTTTATCTAAATTATTACATAGTGTTCTAAAAGTTTTCTCAGATCTCATCTTTTTTTTTTCCAGTTAATCCTCCACAAGGCCCTAAAAGTAATGGCTTGAAACTGCAAATCAATGCCTATAAATCAGTGTTGATTCCCAGTATGAAACTTCTGACCATCCCTGTACTAAGGATTAAGCCTTTATCAAGGGACAAAAGTCCTATGTAAGTTGACCACCATGTCTACCCTTCCAGGAATCTCATTACTCTAACTCTGTTTCTCACATCCAGTCAGATAGAAATACCACTTGCAATTCAGCTGTGATTCTCATTGCATCTTCACAAGGCATTTCTCCATGTTAAAAACTTTTCCTAGCTTCTCACTATAGGAAATACATGCTCTGAAACCTTTCCAGACACAGCTTCTAGCTGAGTTATTTTTTCACTCTTGCTTCTGAACAATCAAGAAGATAAAGTTAATGCAGCAGTCTAAATAGTTTGAAGATCTAGGTTCAAATCCAAAATATATCCATGGGATATGGGCAAGTTATTTCACCATTCTGTAGTTTACTTCACCATTTTTAAGATGGAGTTAGTATCAGTACCCATCTAACAGGATTGAGGATAAATACAGAGGTATAAAGTTCTTTACATGGTCCCTATTAACAGTGCTCAGCAACTTATTTTTATTGCACTTATACATTGTATTTTTTTCATGTTTGCTTCAACCCCTACTGAACTATGAGTTTATTGAAGTTTATTGTATTACTTAAGTTTTAATCTTCAGTGATAAATGCAAAGTTTGTTACTTAATACACAATATAAGTAAGTATCCCCTCCAAGTCAATAGGTAAGTTGTATATTGCTAACTCAATGGCAGTATCTTCTGGGTGCTTAATATATTTATCAGAGAGATAAAAAGGTACAGAGAGTTAAAGAAGTAGGTTACTAAGAAATACAAATAGATATTAAAATACTAAGAAACAGATCATATGAAAATACATATAAATTGAAATCATGGTTATTTTCCATTATTAGATTTAAATGCTCCAATTCTGTTAATTATTTCATGATTTCATATGAAATAATGATTTCAATGGATCCTTTTCCATTGAACATGATGATGGTATTCATAAAATAATGCACAATATTGAATATGAAGAATATTATTCTATTTAATGCTACCTAATTATTCTCTATGAAGTACAATCAATGCAAACATCAAATACAGTATAAACTAAAATGGCACTTGGACTCACCCTCTGTCATGTTTTTATTTTGTAAAAATAAGGTTACATGATATTTTTTACCATAAGCTGATAGAAGATTTGGAAAATAATAAAATTTTTACATCTGGATTTGTGAAGACATATTTTGATTTTGCAATTTGGGTTACATTAAATGTCAAAATAAATTATTTCTTCTATTAGTATTCTGGTACAAAATTCTACATAATAAATCCTCTTGGCCTGTCCCTTCACCTGCTTTAAGTCTTTGATCAAATCACACCTTTGTAGTAAAGTCTGCTGCTGTTTAACACTGAATCTTTCCCAATTAACTGACCCCTTATGAACCTTTCTCTTCTTTTTTCTCTTTCTTTCTTTCATTTCCCTTCCCTCCTGTATTTTGTTAAAGCATCAATTGCCATCTAACATACTTCACAACTTATTTATTACATTTATTTTGTTTCTTGGTGTATTGCTATGTTTGGAACTGTAATGGCATTTACATAGTTTTATTTATATTTATATTGGATACAAACTACATAGGAGATATATATATATATATATCTCCAAACAATTTATATCCACTCATTAACTCTTCATTTCACACATTATGCTTATATTGATATTTCTATCTTTTAACCAAGTAGTATATTTTAGATGCGCTAATTAGTAATTCATACAATGTAAAGGAAGCTTTTTTAAAAGAAACACTTTTAATAGACAGTTTTGTACAGAATAAATTCAAACACAATTCTTCCCTTCTAGATTCAATAAAGTGCTCTGATGTATCAACAGTCACTAATTAAAATAGCAGATATTTGTTAAATAAATAAATTACTAGATTTGAAATGTGTTTTCACAGGACAGTTTATCAATTTGCTTCTATTTGACAGCTATTGCTTGGCTGCAAAACAATAGCATGGAGTCAACAATCTTATAAGTCACATCGTATTTTAATCATAGATACGTCTAAGTGCTACTTTTTATTTTCACCCTACACTGATTTAAAGTAACTAGACAAAATGTTTCAGTGTCTCTTTATTTATTTACTTTGCTTTTTCCTGCCAAATGAGGAGATAAATGCAGAAAATAATTATAATGATAAGACAAGTAACCCTGAATTTAGTTTAAAATTAATTATTAAACAATCGTGTAAAAATTTCTGAGTACACTATGTAAATACGAAAACAGTTATGTTATAAATATAATCCAACATAGTACAATCTTTGACTCCATAGCAATTATTATACTATGGAACTATTAAGACATTTTAAATCATTTAATTATTTGTGTTGAATTAACTTTAAATTTTTGAAAATAGCAATTTTTTTCCACATAGTGGTCAAATATTTCATATTTTTCCAGGGCACTTTGATTTCAGATATTATATTCCATTTTAGAAACGTGAAAAATTCATCTATATTATTATCATGCATTCAACACTTATTTAACATGTTAAAAGGGAATTATGGTTTTTATTTTCCAAAAATAGTCTATAATTGATTTTTATGTAAATTAAATTCAACATTAAATATAGGGTGTTTCACCATCAAGATTTTTACACCCCTTAATTCCAAATGAAAATTCAATAAGCATGAAGCATTTAGACAAATAAAAAGTAGGCAAAACACACACACACAAACAAACAAACAATAAGCTTGATTTCTAAACAGTGATGGGGTTAGAAAATATTTCTTTATATGATTATGCGAGACTTGTATCAAGAAAGAAAATATTCCTTTACACAATTCAAGGCTACATGCAGGACAAGGGGAAGGGTATCATGGAGCAAATTTATGTAGTAGCATTTTTTGATTAATAAGCATTACTTAATGTGAATAAACTCTTCAAATTATGCTCATATTTTATTTTGATGGAGACACAAAACAAAAAATACAATTCCTGAAATCAATGAGATAAGTCAGCCTCTACAGGAACATTAACTTATAATTGCTTTGGTTTTTATTAATTCCATCCTTGCCCAAATATTTCATTACATTTTTTTCTTGTATTTAGTATCCTTTCTAAATTGCTTCGCTGGGTACATTAAAATATTTGGGTCCAGTTTTAACTAGCTTAATCATTGGTGATATGCACTAAATGTGATTAACTTAAAACATAAAACCTGGGATGTTAAAATCCTTATATTCGTGTCGGTAAACTTGACATGGGGAATGTGAATTCTTTCAAAATATCCATTAGATAATTAGATGGGTAACATTAAAGGAATCAAACAGTTCATGGTAAGCCAATACTGCTGAGAGAATATCTTATCAAGTCAAAAAATATTAAAAAATTGTTAAGTAGCTTAA